TCTGGGCATGGCCCCTGGGCTCTGTCCGAGCAAACAGACTGGGATTGTATTCCTGCTGGCTCAGAGGTGGGTGGGATTAAGGGATGCACCTCCATTTACCAAGGGGGTGTGGGGTATAAGAATAACAAGGAGAATATCACACCTTTTCAGTCGTTGGCATCTGGAATGTTCTTGTGGTTCCCAACAAGTAGAGCCCATTCTTAAGTCCCTGGAATCTGGGAGAATGCTGTTGCTTTATGTATCCGAAATGGTCAAAATGCTTGTAAACATTTAAAATAGCTGTGCCCTCCAGACAGACAAAAGTCCACAGTTCCACCTGCCTTCCTCTTTGCTGCTTCCCCTTTTATTCACCAGCCACCACCAGTACAGTCCTCCAAACATCCCCTGGCTAGCAGGGCTGCTTTTTCAGTAAATTCTTAGGTCCTAACACCACTTGGCAACATCCCAGCTCTCTGTGCCATCAGGTTCACTGACCGACCACAGCTCCATACATCTCCTTTTTTGGTGTTTTCATGCAAGTTCTTCTACTAGTTGGAGTTTAGTTCACTTCTATATCCTTTCCTTCAATGCTCAGGGCTCTGTATCTGTGTTAATTGGTTCCCCTTTTCTTTGTTAAAGAGGGTCTGTGCAGTCTGTCTGCCTATTCTGCCATCTTACTGGAACTCTCCACAAATCACTCTTAAAATAATACCTCTGTTTCCTTTAAAGCCATGAAATCTGTGACCCTGAAATTGGAGGTCAAATAATCATGTGCCCACTCTGTGACCAGTTATGTGACTATTGGAGATTGAATACTACGTGTTTGGCCTCAAAGGTATGTATGCATTGTGATATATTGAAAAGACTTGGAATTTTCCTCTTTTTGTATTGTGTTTGGTACTAAGTAGTCTTGTGATATTGTTGCTTTTACAGTTCTCCCATTTATTTGATAATGAGTCAACAGTGTTCTTTGCAATATTCATGGGAATTTGGGGTGAGTACATAGTCTCATGATAACCAGCTTTTTTATATTATATAAGTGTCATCTACATATTATATATGAATGGCATATATTATATTCAAAATGTGGTTTTAGATCACTGTACCTTTTTTATCATCAAATACACTGATGGAGTGTGGCCTAAACTTTGTTCCACAAACATCTCTACTGAAGCCTCTCATCATTTTGCTAAGGTACAATATAATTTTTGAAGCTTAAATATATTTACTCACACTATCTCCCAGTGTCATGGTAAAAACAGGTTCAGTAAGTACTTAATTCAAGAGAGACTGTTAACATAATTATTTGATTGCTGGATCATATTTCATCAGGGGTAGAAACAAACATAGACACTATTAAGGGTAATCGATCACTTTTAAATCTGTGTTTTCTGTGTTTGTTTTTAGTTCTAGCTTTCAATTCCATTTTTAAATAATCTTTCAAATAAAATGGATTTCCCCTTAACTTTGGAAATGCCAAATCACCTCACTTATTTCATTTCAAATAGGAGGTAGAAGTATCATAAAGTTTTTCCTATCATCAATAAGGATATATTTTTTGTAAGGGTTAGTTAGCAAGAAGAGATGTATAGATTGGTCTAAAATATGTCGCAAAGTGAACACAGAGTTTTCTTCTCACTTAAATCTTTGGGACAAGTGTGTCTCCACATGCAAAAGAATGGAGCTGTACTCGTATCTCACACCATATATGAAGATAACTCAAAGTGGATCAGTGATCTAAATGGAAGAAGTGAAAACATAAAACTCTTAGAACAAAACATAGGGTTAATGATACAGGACCTAGTTTTTCACAATGAATTTTAAGATAGGACATCAAAAGAATGAGCAACAACAACAACAAAAGATATATTAAACTTCATCCAAACTGAAAACTTTATGCAGCAGAAGACTTTATTAAGAAAGTGAAGGGAGTATACACAATGCGAAAAATATTTCATAACCATATATCTAATAAGGGTTTAATATCCAGAATATATTAAAAACTTTACAACTCAACAACAAAAAGGTAAACAATACACTTAAAAATGTGCGAAAGATTTGAAGAGACATTTCTCCAAAGAAGATACATGAATGCCAATGAACACATAAGATGCTCGATCTCATTAGTCACTGTTGTTGTTAAGTGGCATCGAGTCAGCTCCGACTCATAGCGACCCTATGTACAACAGAACAAAACAGTGCCTGGTTCTGGTCTATCCTCACAATCCTTACTATTCTTGAGTCCATCATTGCAGCTACTGTGCTAATCCATTTCCCTGAGGGTCTTCCTCTTTTTCACTGACCCTCTAGTTTGCCAAGCACGATATCCTTCTCCAGGGACTGGTTCTTTCTGACAACATGTCCCAAGTAGGTGAGATGGAAGAAGTCTGGCCATTCTCACTTCCAGGGAGCATTGTGACTACTCCTTCCAGGACAGGTTTGCTCATTCTTCTGGCAGTCCTTGGTATTTTCAGTATTCTTCATCAAATCCACAATTGAATGGCATCAGCCCTTCTTTGGTCTTCCTTATGAAGTGATTAAAAATACCAAGGCTTGAGTAAGACTGTACCTTAGTCTTCAAATTCATTTGCTCAGAATGAAGATAGGGCAATCTACTTCCATAGTGATACTGCCTCAGAAACCCAAGTCATTAGGTAAATGCAAATAAAAACCACAATGAGATACCACTTCCACCCACTAAGATGACTATTATTAGAAAAACTGAAATAAAGAGTACTGATGAGGTTATGGAGAAATTACAACCCTCATCTATTATAAATGTGCATGTAAAATGGTCCAGGCATTGTGGAAAATAATTTGTTGATTCTGGGAAAATGTAGTTAACACATGACCCAGAAATTCCTCTCCTAATTATATGCTGAAAAGATGTGAAAGCAAAGACAAACAGATATTTGTACACCAATGTTCACTGCAGTATCATTCACAATAGCTGAAGACTAGAAACAATCCATGTGTCTAACAACAAATGAATGGATAAGCAAAATGTAGTATATGCATAAGGTGGAGTATTATTCAGCCATAAAGAAAAATGAACTTTTGATACATGCTATAACATAGATGAACTTAAAAACATTTTCCAGAGTGAAATTAATCATAGATGAAATGACAAATATTGTATAATCCAATTTATACCTAGAAGAAACAAATGCATAGAGGCAAAAGTTGATTAGTGGTTACTAGAGCCTAATTTCAAAGAGCAATTAGAGAAGACAAAGTTAAGTATGGTAATGAAATTCACAAAGACATGGATTTGGGAAACCAAAAAGAATACAGTCAGCATTTCTCAAGCCAAAAGAAATGAAGAAAACATTCAAGCTTCACAGGGCAATATTGAAGGATACTATGCATAAAATTTTGAAGGATGCAGGAAGCATGAAAAGAAGATGAGAGGAATACACAGAGTCATTGTACCAAAAAGTTGCTTGACATTCAACCATTTTAGGAAGTAGATATGATAAAGAACTATGGTACTGAAGGAAGTCCAAGCTGCCCAGCAGGAATAGGCAAAAAACAAAGCTCCAGGAATTGCCAGAATTCCCACTGAGATATTTCAACAAATGGATGAATACTAGAGGTACTCACTTGTTTATGTTAAGAAATTTAGAAGACAGCTGCCTTGCCAACCAACTAGAAAAAAATCTGTATTTGAGCCCATTCCAAAAAAAGCAGATCCAATAGAATGTGGAAATAATCAAACAATATTATTAATACCATATGCAAATAAAATTTTGCTAAAGATAATTCAGAAACAATTGTGGCAACATATTGACAGGGAAAGTCCAGAAATTCAAGTTGATTTCAGAAGTGGAATGAGGGATGTCACTGCTGATGTCAGATGGATCTCGGCTGAAAGGTAAGGATATAGGAATGATGTTTACTTGTGTTTTATTGACTATGCAAAGATCTTTGACTGTGTGGATCATAACAAATTATGGATAACATCACAAAGGACAGGAATTCCAGAACACTTAATTGTGCTCATGAAGAACTTGCACATAGACCAAAAGGCTGTTGTTTGAACAGAACAAGGAGACACTGCATGATTTGAAATCAGAAAGGGTGTGCATCATGGTTGTATCCTTTCAGCATCCTTATTCAGTCTCTATGTGGAGCAAATCATCTAAGAAGCTGGGCTATATGAAGAAGAATGTAGCATTAGGATTAGAGGGGACTCATGAATTACCTGCAATATGCAGATGACAAAATCTTGCTTGCTGAGAGTGAAGATGGCTTGAAGCATTTACTGATGAACATCAGATTCCAGTCTTCAGTATGGATTACATTTCAACATAAAGAAAACAAAAATCCTCATAACTGGACAAATAAGCAACATCATGATAAATGGAGAAAAGATTGAAGTTGTTCAAGATTTTAGTTTACTTGGATCCATAGTTAACACCCATGGAAGCAGCAATCAAGAAATCAAATGACATATTGCACTGGGCAAATCTTCTGCAAAAGCCCTCTTTAAAGTGTTGATGAGCAAAGATGTGACACTGAAGACTAAGTTGCACCTAACTCAAGCCATGGTCTTTCCTATAGCCTTATATGCACGTGAAAGCTGGACAATGAATAAGGAATACCAAAAAAGAGTTGATGCCTTTGAATGGTGGAAGAATATGGAAAATACCATGGATTGCCAGAAGAACGAACAAATCTCTTCTGGATGAAGTGTAGCCAGAATTCTCCAGCAAAAATGGGTAGACATTTTCTCACCTAGTTTGGTCATGTTGTCAGAAGGGACCAGTCCCTGGAGAAAAATATCATGCTTGGCAATGTTGAAGGTCAGAGGAAAAGGGGAAGACCCTCAACGAGATGGATTGACACAGTGGCTGCAATGATGGGCTCAAGCACAGCAAGAATTGTGAGGATGACTCAGAACTGGGCACTGTTTCCTTTTGTTGTACACAGGTTTGTTATGACTCAGCCAACTCAGTGGCACCTAACAACAATATAAAAAGGCTCTGCCATCACTTAATTATTTCAGAAATGTTTGTAGTAGCAATGAATTGATTTAGCTTTAGTTTTTGAGTATCTTGATCAAGTTCTATGAAAACAACACTCAGACACATTTTTCTTAGTTTGACTTTTGACAAACAATTGGGCAGAATCAAAGGTTGTGCATGTACAGTAGGTGTTAGGAGAAACAATCCAGACATTAAAAGATCAACACTGGTCCCAAAGGTGGTGCTCTGAAAATAGTGAAGGCTGTATTGGTAGGGTGAGATGAAAGTGCTTTTTCTTTGTTTATTTGTAATGAAAATTCATTCCCATGATAAAAATTCAAACAATATATAGAAGTTGAAATACAATAAAAATGACCTGAAATTTAATTAACATATTGGCAGTCATTTTTCGGGATCTTTCTCTATGTGTTTAGCATGTATGTACACAAAATTTTGCATAAATATCAATATTATACATGGTTTTAAGCCTGTTCTTTTATATTCAGGGAAGAATGAGTGATGGAACTTCTTCCATATCAATAAATATGTATGTGTATGTGTGTGTGTGTTTGTATGTGTATTTATGACTGGATAATATTGCCTCTGATGGATTTACTTCAGCCTGTTATTCTCTATTGTTGCACATTTATGTCACTTCTATTTTTTTTATCATTGCAAATAATTCTGAGGTAAATATCTGTTTACTCTTGTACAGTTTTCTTCTAAGAATAAATTCTTAGCAGGTCATTTCCTGGGGAAAATTATATTTTCAATCTTAAAATTCTGCTATATATTTCCAAATTGCCCTACAGAAAAGATGTACCAACTTATATTCCTACAAGCATTATATGAGTTTTCCCACTTTCCATACCCTAGACAAGCCCAGCTATGATTTTATTTACATTTACTTGATTAAAAGTAAAATTAAAGATGCTACCAATATGTATTGAATTTTGAAATCCTTTGTCTCTGAATTGTTTAATTCACAGGTGTTTTATATAACAAACATAGTAACTCTTTGTCTACCACACAAATTATAAATATTTTGTTTGTTATTTGCATTTGACTGTGTTCATGGTCAATACAAGTTTTAATGTATATGTTTCTATGTCATAACATTTTTCATCATGATTAGTTTTGTTTCATGTGTTTCTTTAAAAACAAAAAACCTTCTCTAATCCAAAAAAATGTTCAATGTTCACCCATATTTTCTTTGCAAAGCTTAATAACCTCCTTAATATATGTCAATCTAATTCTGCGAATATGTGTATATATGGTTTTAGACTTTAAAGCACTTTTTTTGTGTACATGCTTCCACAGTTATAACAGGTTATACATGAATTTCATCAATCACTTACATGTTCTATTAAGGAAGCCACCATGGCTTTAATCTCTAAGTGCAGCACTAGGCATATGGTATGTGTTCAAATTCCTATATTCATTTACTCAACAGATACCTGTTAAATAAATAATAACAATTTGGTAGTCCTTATATGTGAAAAGTGTCACAGCTTATTCAGGCAGCATCTACAAGGATTTCTTTAATTTTCAGAAATCCCCAAGGAGTACCTGTGTCCCATGATTTCTGTAGAATCAAGTAGTCACAAGAAAAGTCCATATGGATCATAGGAGCTATTTTGTTTTTAGTACTTCTCTCTTCTCCTTCCTTAGTGCACAATTTTGCTAAATATTTTATACCCTCAATTTCTATTACAACCTCATTTATATTGATCAGGTTTCTTATTTCTACTTCAGAATTTCAAACATGGTTTAACTGTTTAGTGTTTTTTTTTCTAAGTTTTTGCAATTCCTTTGGAACATCCAATCTGTTGTAGACATGGGTATCAAAAATTAGTTCTAAAACTTATGTTAGATCTTTTTTATTTTGGAATGCAAATAAAGAAACAAATATTAAGATTTTACTTGATTGTACCAGGCTCTCAAAATTGTATTCTCCTTCATAACAGTGTTTTCCACTGGTTCATGAGTAAATGAATAAATAAATGAGAAAAGGTCTCCTGTTTCATGAAATTCATAATAATATTAATGCATTAATAAATGAATCAAATATAATCTGTTCTTAAGAAAGTCACAATCTAATTTGAGATAAAAACCAAAACCAAACTCATTGTCATTGAGTCAGTCCTGATTCATAGCAACCCCTCCTTGGGTTTCCCAGGCAGTATCACTATGGAAGTAGATTGCCCAGTCTTTCTTCTGAGGAGTGGCTGGTGGGTTTGAACCACCAGCCTTCTGGTTAGCAGTCAAATGCCTTAGGCACTAATAAATATATTCATAGAAATATATTTTAAGAGCTAAAGGAGTGCAAGGATTAAACAAAACAAAACAAAAAAAAACATTTACCTTGGAGTCTGACTTATGGCAACCGTTCCATGTGTTTCAGAATTAGAATGGCACTCCATAGGGTTTTCAATGGCTGTGATCTTTTGAAAATAGATCATCAGAACTTTTCCAAGGTCTCTCTGGGTGAATTTAATCTGCCAGTCTTGCAGTTACTAGTCAAGTGTAACCCAGGGACTCCAAGGGATTGCAAAGGAGGAAGGAATTACTCCATGACCAGGAGAAATGAGATAATGTAATGTTTTTAGAAGAATGGAATTGGAGTGGAGTTTTTTAAAAAATATATATATAATTTTGATGCATGAAAAGAGGTGGAAATATATTCTAATAACTTAGCAGTCTGTTTTGAGGAGTAGCTTCCAACAGTTAATCCTTTGTGCCTTCAATGTCCTGAATTAGCCTCACAACTCCCTTTTGGGTGAAATGTTTTGGTTGACATCACTTCCTCTGGGATATTTTCATCTTTTTTGTGAGGACCACTTTCTTCATGTATGTTGATGTATTCACCTTCACTAAGTTGCATGGCTGTTATGTAGTCTCTTAAACAGCAGCAGTGTCCACATTTCCACAGCCAGTTATTCCTTTTATAACTTCATTTATGTTTGATTAGATGCATTAATGCATATTAAATTGATTTGAATTTCATTGCAACATTATCACTTTTCAATTCTTTGCTGCACTTTCATCTTTGTTGGCCAATTCCCTGTTTTGATTATCCATCCTTATAAAATGTCATGTGGATTTTTCACTTGGAGACAAGACAACACACCTCCATGCTATGCTGATTGTGCATGAACTGAATAACATATTCAGTGATCAACTTTGAAATTTTCAACAGTCTTTGAAAGAAATCATATGATTGACATTTATCATGATGCAGCTCTGTTATTTATGTAGTGATATGTGGGCTGAATGACAGCAAATTTTACACTTTATGCCTTTACACTTAATATATCATGGACTGAAATTTGAGTCATGTTATTGAAGATTGGTGATATTTAACTAATTTGTGGAAACTGAAATCAAGCATGCATATGGAAAACATGCCAAGCAAGGACTGACTGTATTTCAAAATGTTTGAACGAATTAAAAAAAATGAACTAAATGACACATAACTGGATATATGAGAAAATGAGAAAACTGAAAATGCTATAGCAGTCAAGTGGTAAATATCTGAATTATAAAGATGGTATATTGGAAATAGAGATACTACTTAGATGACTGTGATGATACTTGAAGAAAGATGTAATTACAAACATTCACAATTTATATTTAATATTTGATAAAATCATAAGTTAATATTGTTTATGTTAATGTTCTATCCCTAGATATATACCCAACAGAAAGGCATGCATATGTTCTTCAAAAGCCATATGAAAAATGTTTACAGTAGGATCATTTGTAATAGCAACATCCTAGAAACAACCCAATTGCTCCAACCAGGCATGTTGTTGTTGTTGATAGGTGCAGTCAAACTGACTCTGACTCATCATACAATGGAATATTATATAGCAATGAGAGTAGATGAACTTTCCCTACATACAAGAACATGACTACAATTTGTAAACATGCATACTTATAAGCATGGAAATGATACTAAGTTAATATGCTTTGTTGTTGTGGTGGTGGTGGTGGTTATGTGCCATCGTGTCATCTCTGACTCCTAGAGACCTCATGTACAACAGAATGAAACACTGCTCAGTCCTGTGCAAGTCTTACGATCCCTATTATACTATACATACTATACCTGAGCCCACTGCTGTAGCATGTCAATCCATCTTAATATGCAGATTTTTAAAAAACCACAATATCATTTGTATGATACCATTTATGTTTAAGTTAAAAGACAGGCAAAACTGACCTATAAGGTTATAACAACTAATCTATAAGGTCTGGCTACCCGTACATCTTGGAAGAGTCACAACGAAGGGTTTCTGGAGTGCTAGTCATTTTTATATTGGTACTGGTCACATGGTGTTCACTTTGTGAAAGTTCTTTAACTTACGTACAATGTCAAATTATCTGAATGAAGAGGGTAATATGTCAGCAAAACAAAATTTCTGTTGGATTATTGTCCAAGAAATTAACTTCAATTTTTTATAAATGAGTTATTTAAAAATATATCTATATATATTATTTTGCCAATCTTAAGGAGCTCTGGTAGTTTAGTGGTTAGGAAATTTGGCTGCTAACCAAAAGGTTGGTGGTTCAAACCCACCAGCCTCTCTGCAGAAGAAAGATGAAGCAGTCTGCTTCCATAAAGATTTACAGCCTTGGAAACCCAATGGAGTCACTTTGAGTCTGAATCGACTTGATGCAGTAAATTTGTTTTTCATTCCAACCTTAATAATTTTGTAATATTACCAACAAATATAATAATGACAAAATAGCCACTTGAAAAATATGAACCATCATGCAACAAATGATTAAAATGGAAAGAAGGAGGAAAAAAATGTTGCTAGCTTTATTTTTCCATCTCTTGATTATTTTCATATATTTCCTTACTCATAGTCACACTGTTTTTGGAGTTTTGGAAACAGCAACAAGTCAAACTGGAATATGAGTGGGACATGGTAGACTTTGAAGAGGAACAGCAGCAGCTTCAGCTGAGACCTGAATTTGAAGCTATGTGTAAACACAGGAAATTGAATGCAGTGACTAAGGTAACTTAGCAAACTGTGAAATGGGTAGCATATTCAATGTACACACTGCTTTTGTTTGCCTCTCAATGCATATTTTAATTTGCCCTTAAAATTTCCACTAATCCATAAGTTATATAAACTACCTTACTTGTTTCTGAAGAAATAAATACTTATACATACACATGTAATACATATTATATATGTATAGCAAAAACCCATTGTTATCAGGCTGATTCTGACTCACAGAGACCCTATAGGACATAGTAGAACTGACCCGAAGTGTTTTCCAGGCTGTAAATCTTTATGGAAGCAGAGTGCCACATCTTTCTCCCATGGAACAACTGGTGGTTTAAACTGCTGACCTTTTGATTTGCAGCTGAACCACTGTAGAACCACTGTGCCACTAGGGCTGTACATAATGTATATGTCTATGAAAGTTTTGAAACACATATAAAAATTGATAGAATAGTGTACACTACCCCATGAGCCCATTGTTGTTGTTATGTGCCACGGAGTCGGACCTGACTCATAGCAACCCCTCTTTGGGTTTCCGAGGCAGTATCACTATGGAAGTAGATTGCCCCATCTTTCTTCCGAGGAGTGGCTGGTGGGTTTGAACCGTCAGCCTTCTGGTTAGCAGTCAAGTGCCTTAGACACTATGCTACCAGAGCTCCCCATTATGAACCCATTACCCAGATTTAATGATTATTAAATCATAGCCAATCTTGTTTCTTTTGTGCCCGTATTCCCACCAGCACCACTGTATTATTTCAAATCAAACCACAGGCTTTGTATCATGAAATACATAGTTTTCATACTAACTGAAAAAAATAGGCAATATGTGCATACTTTGGACTTTATATATAATGTGTACATGAATACATAGGCTTGGAAATGATACTAAGTTAACATGCAAAAATTAAAATAGTGGTGTTAAATAATGGGCTTATGAGAGACAGAATTTTCTTCATGTAGTTAAGTCTAATTGATTATACTGGGAAGGTAATTGCACTGGGATTTGGGGAGCAGGAATGCCCTGTAGGATTTTATCTTAAAAATAAGTGCTCAGGTTTGCCGTGCACCAACTAATTCAGTCTATTGCAAGGCAGTCATGGCAAGACATGCAAGTAAGACCTCAAGACATGCATTTATGACCAGAGAATCAGAATTAACAATTACAATATTAGTTCAATGATTGGTTTCCAAATCTTTAGACTTCAAGCTTTTATCATTTCAGCAGACTCTTAGTCTTCAGAGAAAGCTGGCATCAGAGAAACCTTCTGCTGCTGTCTTCTTTCAGAGAGTCAGCAGAAATTCAGGGGTTATATTCAGTGTTTTAACCTTGACTTTACAAGATAATGATTAAGTGATGTCATATTTATCCAAGATTTGTGTCTTGCCAAATAAGGAGATTGTTGTATGGCACATTTGTGTTTCAAGGCCAATTTGTAGAGCTTTGATTTATTATAAATTAATAATAGGGCTATTCTATGACATAATTAAAAACACTTAATTTATAATAAATCAAAGCTCTACAAATTGGCCTTGAATATTCTATGACATAATTGGGGAGCTCTGGTAGCATAGTGCCTAAGGCACCTGACTGCTAACCAGAAGGCTGGCGGTTCAAACCCACCAGCCACTCCTTGGAAGGAAAGTTAGGCAATCTACTTCCATATTGATACTGCCTCAGAAACCCAAGGAGGGGTTGCTATGAGTAGGGTCTGACTTGATGGCACATAATAACAACAACAACATGACATAATTATCTCTCAAAGCCAATTACAGAGATTTGATTAAAGTTACATTTGTTTATCACAGTATGGAGGTGCATCGCTATCTTAGGGAGGTTGTTTACTACATACTTCACATACTTCTCATAGTCCAATTATCTATTTCCAAGATTAGACCAACTTTCTGATGACTTATAGTTTCTAACGATATATAGAGAGTGTCATAGATGTATACATATTTCTATTTCTAAGTTCAGAATTCTTTGTTTCTAACTCCACATTATAAGTTACTTATACATAGGTGTTTAAAAGTGCAACAGTGTAAAAATCATTATAGAAGCATACATGATAGTGATTTATATAAATAGATGAATTGAGATCTTCACAAAAAGCATATATAATGGGGAAACCTTGATTTTCGAATCCTTTCCTTGAAAATTTTGTGTTCTATACTGAGATATTTGATTTCTTGGTACATATTTTCATGTGAAAACTGAAGGTACTTTGCCTTCCCAAGACCAGAAGCTTAACTATTATTCTCAGAGACCCTACCTTTCTGTAAGCTAGAATCACTGCATCACCTAATGCTATAAAAGGGAATAGAATATGCCTGAAACACTACCTCTCCAATAGACTTCTCTATTCTATTCAAGACAGTTTTCTTTCAATACAACACTCAAAATTTTTTTCACAGTATAGACATTCATTAAATGTTTATTAAATTGCATTGAAATACCCCCCAAAATAATTCAATGATTGGATAAAGAGAAAAGCAACTTCAGAAAATACATCAACTTGAGTGGCAGTTTGAAATTATGGAAATATATTAAAAGAGACGGTGACAGGATGTATATATTATATGCATCTATTCATGTTTCTTGAGATAAAAAATAAAAACAGGTCTATTTACCAAAAATTATTAACAGAAAAAAGCTGTGTTAAATTCTTATATTTAAGAATAATTGGAAAGTAGTATATATTAAATTCACTATGAATCATCTACTTTAGCAGTTTCAAAATAAACAGGTAGATTTGACTCTTAGTGCTTCTTCAGTGGTTAAACACAAGCAGAAGTCTCAGATTTGTCTGTATTGTGAACACACATACATACATATATGTACAGACATGCACATGTGTGCATACAAAAATACATGCATGAGCACAAAAATACATTGGGTACACACTTATGTACACAGACATGCATGCACATATGCACACATATCCTGGGGTTCTATAGAGCTCTTGGACAGCCTACTTTGCTTGTTGAGTTCTGTTTGCATTCATTCTATCCTTGAAATCCTTAAAATTTGAACTAGTATGTGCTAGATAGAAATATCTGATATAAATTTCTTTCAACAGCTGTTTTTCACTCTATTTGTTATCTTTTGGTTAATATCTAATTGCCTCTTCATTTAGTTCAGAATGTTAGCTGATTTAATGATTATCTTCTGTTAATGACAGAAAAGCTTAGAGGTGGGAAAGGATGAGATTCTAGACTGTGTAGAAAACAAAATCTGTCCTATGAAAATATAAAGAAGGCACCCTATGTAATCCCATGCAGAGAAATTCATTAGAATAAAATCATACCATCATTTTGACTTTCTTTTGTATCTTCCAAGCCATGAATACCACTGTGGAAGTAGTACATATCCATAATGTCTCATATCATCTGTAGGATGTCTTATCCAGGAATTCCAAAGGCTTCTACTTGAAGAAAAGGAAACATTGCTAGAATATAGCTTTCCACAACTTGTAGCTCTTGGAAAATTCTTGTTTTAATTAGGTTCTATGGTTTTGACTACTACTTGGAATCCAACACTGATGATGAAACTTGAATTTTGCTGTGTTTTCTTCAAAATTACAGGAGATGGAACCTTACATGCCTTTATATAGTCGTATTCCATGGTACTTACTCTCAGGAGCCACAGTGACATTATGGGTGAGCATTTCTTTAAAAACTTTGATCATCTCTTTAATATACAATATATTGGGTTAATTTCCCCATTTGCTCTCATCAGTGATTGCTATTGATTCCCCTGCCCCCATTTTTCCTTTCTTATACTTCTTATATAAAGTAATTTATGTGGATTTGCCCTAGTTGAACCTTGGGAAAACACCAAGGAGGAGAGAGATGCTTTTATGTGAGAGCCAACTTTTTCCTCCCCACTCTAAATGTAGTTAGATCATAACCTGAAACTAGACAGAATAACAAGCCTACATTGATTGTAGACTAGTTTCCTTTTGGTTTTGTTAAACCATTAATTTATCTTTATCCCCACTCAAAGTATCTGCACAAAATGAATCAACCTATACTATAAAGTTCATTCTCTTTCAGATAAACAGAAGAAAGTGTTTCTTTTTCATACTTGAAGAATTTAATTAGCATATCCCATTGTTACAAAGACAAGTTTTCTCCATGTCTTTAACAAATAGATTCCTTCATCATCATAATGTATTTCCTATCCTCCCCTTTCCAAATCTATGCACTCTAATGGCCTTAGTTGGCCTTAATTTTAAGAAAAGAGGCAGTGTTACCTACGAGTGGTTAGTAGATTGAAGTACAAATTATAGACAGTTGTAAACCAGAGCTTCACCTCACCAATCTATATTTTCCATAATTTTTATCTTTAATATTCCTTGCTAAATCTATTACTTTCTCTATTTGTTTTCTTAGATAATATTGCAATCATTGAAGAGAAGTGGTAGAATAAAAGGGGTAAATAATCAACTTGTGACACTCCTTGAAAAACATTGTAGACTATGGTCCCAGAACAATTACTCTGTTTTGAATATCTAGTTCTCACAGAAGAGTCAATTTCTCAATTTCAAAATAAAATTTTCCAATCATTGATACAAAGTCATCCCTAGATCTTTCTGCTTTTGCAAAATGGGAAATATACATAATTTATATAGAGTCTCTACAGATATCTAAACTCCCATCATATCAGATCACAGGAAGCATTATTTTGAGAGTAAACAAAATAGAATTTTTAAATTTGTTATTCTTGGAAAATAAGTAATCTTCATACTTCTTGTGGATCTCCAACTCAATGCAGGGGTCGGAAAATGTTTTCTGTAGAGGGCCAGATATATTTTAGACTTTGTGGGCCTTTTATAGTTTCTGACACATATTCTTCTTTATAGACCTTTAAAAATGTATTCTTAACACATAGGTCATACAAAAACAGGCCACAGACAGGATCTAGCATCTGGCCAGTTTGCTAACCTCTGCTAAAGGATAAATCTAGAACATGGGAAATAAATATTTTCTATTTCAGACTTATGCACTGCCTATCATATGCCTTATCTCTAATCTTTGTACATTGCCAGTGAATATTTCCTGTCAGCTATGGTGACAGATAACCTGACATGGTTTACTTTGCTAAATTTAATATAATGAGATAAAGAAAGTAGTATATAGGATAAGATGGCAGGATAGACAGACAAGCTACACAGACTCTCTTCAACAAAGAAAAGAGAAACCAATTGACACAGATACAGAAGATAATCCTGGAGCCCTAAGATTTGAAAGGAAGGATAAAGAAGTGGATTAAACACCAAGTAGTAGAAGAACCTGAGTGAAAACCATGAGTAAGGAGACAAACAGAGCTGCAGACTGTCAGCTGTCCTGATGACACGGACAGCCTGAACATGTCCAAGTGTTGTTAGGACCTGAGAATCAACCTAAAAATTGGCCCTCCAAGGGCTGCATGGATTAATGCACATATGGCTGATGATTGAAAAGGGAAACAGCAAAGAAGGAGACAAACTGAGCTGTGGACTTTCTGTTATCCTCAGGGTGCAGCCATTTTGAATGCTTACAAGTAGCATCCATTTTGGATATTTAAAGTGACAGCATTCTTGTTCAGATTCCAGGGACCTAAGAATAGGCTCTGCTTGACAAAGACAGCACAGACATATGGGAGGTTGATGACTGGAAAGGAGATGGGTAGTGAGTGCATAAGTACTGCCAACTAGAGAACAAAGGGGCACAGTACACTGCTTACTCAGATACATGCAAAGAAAACAAAAGTCTTGGGTGAATCACTCTAGCATACAATCATCAATTGAATATAAACACAAAAACATCACAATGTCTTGGCAACAACAGACCATCACTGTCCACATGGAGAAGCAAGATAAAGCAGTAGACACAAGGGACCAGGATACAGACACAGACATATCTATCTCTAAGGAAGAAGAAGCATTGGAATTCCCTGATAGGGAATTCAAAAGAATTATAGTTAGGTATCTTCAATGGGTTAAAGACAGATCAAGGTAAAACACTGAAAAAAATGAGGCAAACCTAGAGAAAACCCTAGAACAGTTTTTGGAGATGATACCAGAACAAAGTGACAAAATAAATGAAAAACTAAAAATGATACAAAATCTACAAATAGAGATCCAGAAGATTAATACTAAATTCTCAGAAATAGCAAATTGAATGGGCAAAAGAGTAGAATTGAATCAATGGAAGACAGAATTAGTGAGATTGAAGACAATACTTCTTTGGAAAAGGATCAATCCAAAAAAAGATCAAAACAAAAATGAAGAAAGTCTAAGATTCATGTGGGATACCATCAAAAGGAATAACCTATGTGTAATCAGAATTCCAGAACAAGAAGAGAAAAATAAAACCACAGAGAAAATTGTTGAAGATTTGTCAGAAGAGACTTTCTCTGATATGATGAAAGACAAGAATATATCCATTCAAAAAGTCCAATGAACCCCAAACAGGATAGACCCCCAAAAGAAAATCACCAAGATGTATCATCATCAAACTCACCAAAACTGAAGACAAAGAAAGAATCCTGAAAGCAGCATGGCAAAAATGAAAAGTTACATACAAAGGGCAACCAATAAGACTAACCTCTGATTTCTCAGCAGAAACCATGCAGGCAAGAAGGCAATGAGATGGTATATATAAAACCCTGAAAGAAAAAATAATTTCCAACAAAGAATTATATACACAGCTAAACTGTCCCTCAAATGTGATGGTGAAATTAGGAGATTTCCAGATAAGCAGAAATTAAAGGATTTTTTTAAAACCAGACCAACCTTACAAGAGATGCCAAAGGGAGTCCTTTGGAAAGAGAACCAACAACAGCAAACAACAACTGACCATTAACACATATGATAACATAACTCAGAACAAACCCAGTTATGGAAAAATCCAAAGTTAATAAGCCTACAAGATCATAAACAGGGAACCAGAGACATCAATTGGCCAATGAGGACAACTGCAAATCAAAAAGAGGGAAAAAATATGTAGTTACAGAAGTTCTAAATGGGAGGAAGTCAAGACAATTGCAGGATAGAGTGGATTGCTCTAAATGTAGGAAGAAAATTATAATTCACAAGGTAACCCCAAAGAAAAATGATAAACCTTCACATTAAAATTAAAAAAGGGACAAGCACAAAGAGTTAACAAATACTAAAACAATAGCAATGAAGGAAATGATAACATGATTCATAAACAAAATGAGCTCAGCACAGAAAATTATATGGAACAGAGAAATCAGTAACACCATGAAAAAACACATAACAAAATGACAGCAACAAATACATACTTGCCAATAATTACACTGAATGTCAATGCATTAAATGCACCACTCAAGAGATGGAGAGTTGCACATTGGATAAGAAAACATAACCCATCAATATGCTGTCTACAATAGACACACCTTAGAGAGAAAGACAGAAATAGACTAAAAATCAAAGATTGGAAAAAAATATATCAAGCAAATGACAACCATAAAAGTGTGACTTGTAGCAACTCCTCCATGGGTTTCCAAGGTGGTATCTCCACAGAAGTAGATTGCCCAATCTTCCTTCTGAGGAGTGGCTGGTGGGTTTGAACTGCAGCTTTTGGGTTAGCAGTCAAGCCTTAGGCACTATGCCACCAGAGCTCCTTTATGAAAGAGCAAGAGTGGCAATATTAATTTCTGAGAAAATTGACTTTAAGACAAAAACTAACAGAAGAAACAAGGAAGGACATTATATAATGATTAAAGGATCAATTGAACAAGAGGGCATAACCATAATAAATATCTATGCACTTGATGAAAGAGCCCCAAAATATATAAATCAGACTTTAACAGAATTGAAAAGATAAACAGATGACTCCATAGTCATAGTACATGATTTTCAATCAAAGAACAGCTGGAAAGAAACTCAACAAAGACGTAGAAGAACTCAACAATACAATTCACCAGCTTGACCTTATAGACATCAACAGAGCACTTCACCCAAAAACAACACAATCTACATTCTTTTCTAGTGCACATGGAACATTCTCCAGGATAGACCATATGTTAGAACACAAAGCAAGCCTCAATCAATTTACAAACATTGAGATACTGCAAAGAATCTTCTCAGATCACAATGTTATAAAATTAGAAATCAACAACAGGAAGATCAATGGAAAAAGAGCAAACACATGGACATTGAATGACACCCTCCTTGAAAATAACTGGGTAATAGAAGAAATAAAAAAATAAAATTATGAAATTCCTTGAATCAAATGAGAATGAAAACACAACATACCAAAATCTTTGGGACACAGCAAAAGTAGTAATCAGAGGTCAATTTATAGCAACAACTGCAACACATCAAAAAGGAAGAAAGAGCCAAAATCAACACTTAACTCAACATCTCCAACAATTAGAAAAAGAGAAGCAAAAAAGCCTATACAGTCACCAGAAGAAAAGAAATAATAAAGATTCAAGCAGAAATAAATGAAATAGAAAATCAATATGAAAAAAATCAACAAGACTAGAAGTTGTTTTTTTCTTTTGAAGAGATTAATAAAAATGACAAACCACTGGTAAATTTAACAAAGGAAAAGAGGGAGAGAATACAAATAACATGAATAAGAAACAAAAGGGGCAACTTCACAAAAGAACAAACAAATTAAAAGGATACTATCAGGATACTATGAAGAACTGTAATTCAACAAATTTGAATATCTAGAAGAAATGGGACAGATTTCTAGAAACACATCATTTACCCAAACTAACCCAGACTGAGGTGGAAAAATTTTAACAGACCCATAACAAAAGAAGAAATGAGGTCATAAAAAATTTACCAACCAAAAAGGCCTGGCCCAGATGGTTTCACTGGAGAATTCTACCAAACATTCAGAGAAGAACTGATATCAATCTTATTCACACTATTCTAGAACATAGAAAGGGATGGAATTTTCCCAAATTCATTTTATGAAGCAAGCATAACCTTGATACCAAAACCAGGCAAAGACATCATTCAAAAAGAAAACTACAGACCAATATCTGTCATGAATATAGATGCAAAAATTCTTCAATAAAATCTTAGCCAATAGACTCCAACATCATATCAACAAAATAATTCATTATGACCAAGTGGGGTTCATATCAGATATGCAGGGATAGTTCAACATTAGAAAAACAATCAACGCCATCCATCACATAAATAAAACAAAGGAAAAGAACCACATGATCATATCAATTGATAGAGAAAAGCCATTTGATAAAATCCAACGCCCATTCCTCTCAGCAAAATAAGAATAGAAGAGATATTCCTAAACATAATAAAGGGCATATGTGCAAAACCAACAGTCAACATTATTCTCAATGGAGAGAGACTGAAACCATTCCCCTTGAGAACAGAAACTGGACAAGGATGCCCTCTCTCACCATTCTATTCAACATTATGTTGGAAGTCCTAGTCAGGCCAATAAGGCAAGAAAGGGAAATTAAAGGCATCTGAATTGGTAAGAAAGAAGTCAAAGTATCCCTAT